CTAAACCAAAAAAATTACATATCCGAATTCAGAGATGGGCTACCTTACCAACGATGCATCATTTAAGATTTTAAGGGTTGCACTGTCAGCGATGCGAGACAAAGACATTAGTGAGCAAGTCTTATTTTAGACACTGTTTCCTTCCACGATCAATTTGACGTGCCAAAGCGTTTTTTGAAAATTATTTTAATTTACAGAAATAGCTATGTATGGTTTCTAATGCACCACCGTATATTATTTAGCTTCGGAGAAATAACACCAGAACTCCCCATAAAAATTGTTATAATAACAAATGGGTAGATTTTGGTGTTATTTCTCCGAAGCTTCTTAAGCACCCCACTGAGAGTCATGGATCTTCACAAATTCAGTATATTATTTAAATAATAGCCATATAATTTATAGCAAGATCAATTTTTTTCACGATATTTATCAACATTTTTTGTTTTTTCGTTACTTTACAGTTCTTATCTCTTTAATTTTACGGAAACTCTCAAGAATCTATTTGTTTTACGTTCAAATATGATTATAATTTACTTGAGCTTCTTTTAAGACAATACACACGTATTTCGTTATGCGTCCTTAAATGGATGACATCGAAGGTTAGAGAACTAGGAAACTTAATTTGCAGCTATTAACAAATAATAATTGTTAAAATTTTATTTAGACTTTTATATTCCTATTGCAATATTATTTGTACGTGCTAAAAGGTTTCCAAATGAAAAAAACCTTGATTGTGAATTGGTACAATAAAACTGGGTAAATAGGTTTAAGAAATGTCAGGTGACAGTTTTGCTGATAGACCGATACCAGCGTTTAGCAGCATCCGTCTACTTGTGAACATGAGTGCATACCTTTTTTTGTTTTTTTTTAAAATAAATTTTCATTCTTGGAACCTTTAGCAAGTGTTCTCATGTTTAATACGGAGATTACAATAAAAGAAGTACTAAATTCCAGATTTTGAGTGATATGGATGCTATTAAAGTGACCTAATATCTCTACTGCTTTGATACGGTCCATTCCATTTAAAAAGGTACATAGGATTGTACGTATGAATTCTAGCCTCATAAATACTATTAAAAAAATTATTCCTCTACAAATTGTATGGCTATTGTTTAACCAACATAAATATTTAAGTGCCACATTAAAATGCCAAAATCAAGGAAAATATCATCAAAAATGGACTTGTCCCTGAGGCTAAAAATTTGATTTATTACAAAAAGTTGATAATGGATATGAGATTTAGTCGGTGCAAACTATACGGGGCGCGTAACAATGGAGTTCGGTACAACGAAAAGGGGACATAATCTATGAAGGATACATGTACCTCTTTGCTAAGAACCTGAAACTCCAAAACTGCTCATCATGGCTGGGTCGAGCGAGAAGAGCAAAGAAGGATCCATCGGCTCTTAGTTTAACATGCAATGCCAGGATCTGGGTCAACGATGACAAGGTACGATTAGCTAAACCGAGCACTGATTTTGGAAGTGCAGATGGTTTCCAGTTTCAAAGCCCTTAATTCGGTATTTTATTAGTTAGGATATCGTCTTTTGACCTTTTGACTTTTTTATACGTAAGTTTCATCGTTGCTTATACCGTCGTCTAACGTTAGTTTTTAGGTTCGGCCCTCCCTTGCAAAAAATTTAGTTTATCAACCTCTTCAAAGTTTAACTTTACTCTGGAACCAACCACGGATATGGTCGTTGGGCTTTCCACTTTTACTGCCCTTTTGGGTTTTTAATTGTTTTCCATCTATATTGTAAGTTTTATAGCTATAGCCTCTCCTCAATGATCTCTACCATCTTGTAGATCAGCTGAAGATGACCGTTGGTCGAAACATGTAGTGTATCACTTCGTTTTATTAAATTATATGGGAACGGTTTAGAGAACTTTTATTCAATATTAATAAATTATCCCATTTAGAGTTTGAACACAAAATGGACGTCACGATTCCAAATTATACCTTAATATTGAAAGTATCCAAATTTTAAATGTAGGTATACGTCTATTACATGCACAAAGTAATAAAACGTGATATTGGTGAGTAATATTGGAGATTTCAAGCTCTGAGTTAATTTAATACTTCACAGCCGACTTTCTATGTTAAAAGTCAACCGTACACAAAATACCCTCTCAGGGGAGCCAAATTCTGGTGCGAATTATTCCGGTGCGAATTATCCGGGAGCGAATTGTTAGGGTGCGAATTGTCCTGGTGCGAAATGTCCGGGTGCGAAATGTCCGGGTGCTAATTATTCGGGTGCGAATTGTCCTACAACCCTTTCTTTCACAATTCAGCCTTTTTTTTTGTCCTTCCCAAGCAGCAAAGAAACACGTCTTGTCAATTCTTAGTATTTGAAAAGCTGCCCTCCTATACGGCTTCTGCATATTTTTACACCTAGAGATATTTGGTGCCCTTCGAGTGTCAGATAGCCTATGTCTGGCAGTGTAAGTGGTCCCAGTGTAAATTTTGTCGTCACCCCCACCGCAACCCATCTCTTTCACTAGGTATTCATGAAAGATTACTTGGCAAATTGGCACAAACGTATGTCAAGAAGTATATTAATAGTGGCATATTAACGATGGGGTCCCTATACGACGACCGCGTATGAATTCCCACAGTAGAAAACTTTTCTGCGGTAAATGATTAAGATAATAACCACTGCAACGGCACCTCTTTTTTAAGCCCCATGGTTGCGCGTCATTATGCAACGGTTTTTAATGTAAAGGGGGCGATCCTCTTTTCCTTGTATCGAAAACCAGTAAAAATCAAACGTTATATCAAGGGGTCGACGAAAATAAATAAGAACGACGCTTTCTGCCAATCTGTAACACATAACAACACAAACAAACAAATTAAAAGGATAGTGAATAGTGCGTTTCATAAAATATTGCGTCAGTAATGCTAACGTCTGACAAGGAGGCAATCGGTTCTGCATAGTCTTTGATACTCTTTAAGCTAGGACTAGGTACACGGAAATTGATAACAGTGCTACATTATGTTTTTAGGGTCGAGTTAAATTTTAAAACAAAGCCTAATTAATTATATAACCCCCCCACAAGATATAAAATCGGTTCCACAGTTAGCAGATCAGACCAACGACTAAGGGGTCGGTAACAAGCCAGAAGCTGGGTTTTGTGTGGGTACATGGGAGTTATTTCAAAGGAAAACTTTCCTAAGTAAATGTCACTTTAAGATTCAGTTCCTTGTGGAAAAGTATTTAGTTGTGAACATTCCGGGGGTGGTGGCGACCTTGCTAGGGAGCGAATGAGTCGTCTCATTATAATTCGTTGTGAAGAACTAAGTCAGAGGTAGACGTAACCTTATTCATAATAATAATAATAATAATAATTTTTTTTTTTTTAGGACCCTACATAACTTCACCAGACACAGACATGGCATAGATTCAGCAAAACGCTGCTCTTCCATCTACACCATGACAAAACAGAGAATATTTGTACAGAGCAAAACAGCGAAAGAAAAAAAAATTATTTTAGAATAACTACTTACTAAGTATAGTGAAATGATGAATGAACAGATTGAAAGATAAAAGACAATACGAACAGGAATAATCAACAGTAACACAAAATCAAATTAAAGAGTGAAATAAAAGTTTAAACAATTGTTTTTTGAACTGACGAGTTGGTAAACTCTTAAGAGGCGACGGCAATGCATTGTACATCACAGCAATGGTGTAGCTAAATGATCGCTCAAATAGTGCTGTTTTATGTTGAGGTATAGTTAGTAGCCCTCTATGCCTAAGGTTTAAATTGTGAATGTCAGTCCTAAATCTGATTTTATTGTATAAGTATGGTGGCCGCTTATCGGAAATGATTTTATGAAATAAAACAGCATTTTGGAGATGCCGTCTACTCGTCATTGATAGCCAATTAGCGTCCTTTAACTTATGAGTAATGTGGTCATATTTAGAGATATATACAAAGGGGAGACAAGAATTCTGAACACGTTGAATACTATGCGTTCATACACATTGATTCGAAATGGTGCTAGATCAACTTGGGCAACCTTGTTCGTTAGTCGAAACCAGTGAGAATCCAAAGGTAATATAAGTACTCGAAAGCGTGAATTGCGTATTTTGAATTATATCTCGGGCTTTTCCCAGTAAAATTCCCCCGTATTGTAGCTTCTTTGGCCCCGCTGGTGATCGGCCACGTGTGTCTCCAGTTCGACGAGGCCTTCAAAATTATCTAGATAGATTCGCTTAATCGGTAGATTAAATTAATTTTAGAATCTCAAGTGTAATTTTCTCTATATGTCGAGACAATCAGTTCATATAACATGATTAAAAAGAACTTATAATAAATATATAATGGAAGAAATTACCTAACTACAATTTTCAAAATGCGAACGTTTGATGAGTTCGAATACAAAACATAAAGATCCTTTGAAAACCTATTCTAGTACAGCCACAACACAATATGCCTCCACAACATTAGTGTAATTTAAGGTACTTGAAGAACCTAAACTAAAAGCTTCTGAAAACAGCAGTTGCTAGACTAATATTGTCGATAATTTAAAACTAACGTCGAGAAATATTTTATTCCATTTATCCTAACGGAGGTTATAGACCAGTTTAGTTGGTACCTTTTTAAAATTAGTCAAATTTCCAGTTTGAATTTTAGTTTTTGAAAGCTCTTCAAATCTGCGGCCATTCTACAATGCTACTCTTAGCGAGATCTTCTTTTCAAAATAATCCTAACCGCATTGCCCAAGTTGACCTTCAACGATTGGTCACACTGAGACTACATACTACTTAAAACTTACTGACAACTTCTATCCATTCTAAGCCCATTTGTGATGTACCTAAGCAATTTCATTTTCTACGCATAATTTTTTGAGTTATACACAAAAAAGCTTTTCTGCGTTTTAATCCAAGTTATCTAATTCTGATATGAAAGCAATTAATTTTAAATCTCAAGTGCAATTTTATTTTTAGTAATATGCGTATCTGAAAGTGTATAGGAGACAATGGCAAATTAAAACTAATGATAAAATGGTACATTTGAAGGATTAGTCCAATTGTTATCCTAATTTTGCCACTTGAACCTTCGGTATAAAAACGCGAAACGACAATCGTTCCTCACTTTTGGTTGAACCATGTTCAAACTCGTATTGGTTTCAGCGCTTTTTGCTCTTGTAGCAGGTAAGTCACCTATGTCGCTTAAATATGTGTTATTAATCTCTACTTTCCATTGAAGCGAGGCCCAACCGCCCGGGACTTCCTCATTTAGATGGAAGAATTGTAGGTGGATTCGATGTCACCATTGAACAAGTCCCCTATCAAGTTTCCCTAATGGTTCGCCCCGATAGCCCCTATCACATTTGCGGCGGATCAATCATTGCCCACGATCTAATTTTGACAGCAGCGCATTGCACCACCAGGTACAAATTTTGAAATACATCTGCTTAATAACCTTTTAACACAAACACTTTTAATAGGTATCAACCTTCAGAGATGAGAATTCGCTACGGCAACACCATCAAGAACGAAGGAGGCACCATAATGGAAGTGTTGTTCAAGAAAGATCACCATCTGTACAACCCAAACACAATGGACTACGACATATCGGTTTTAGTTCTCAGTGGTCGAATTCAATTTTCCGCAAGTGCCCAAATTATCCCACTAGTTGCCAGCGGTTCTGGAGAAGGAGGTCGTGCCGCCATGGTATCAGGATGGGGCAGGCTTTCATCCGGTGGCGCATCGCCCACCAAATTACAGGCCGTTTATGTGCGTGAGGTTGATAGAAAGAAATGCAACGAAGACTACAGTGGCCCAATTACCGAGAGAATGATTTGCTTCATGGACACATACAAAGATTCGTGTCAGGTAAATGGATCACGCAACGTTTTTTATGCCAACAGCTAACAATTGATCAATTTGCAGGGTGATTCCGGTGGCCCACTCGTATCCAGTGGTGTCCAAATTGGTGTTGTGTCATGGGGATGGGGATGTGCCGATCCAAGGTACCCAGGTGTTTATTCTAATGTTGCTGTACTTAGAGATTTCATTGGTTGGTAAACAATATCTGTTTCAATGAATCTTTCTGGAAAAAAATGTGTGCAAATATAGTAACTAAGTTTCGTTGCAATTTGTTTTTATTATTCCAAAGTACGTATATAATACGCGTTACGTCGAAAGTGTTCCCCTTCCCTTAATATATTATTGTACTGCTAACATAATGGTTCTGTTCTGGCTCAGTTGTTTTATAATGCCTAGGACTTAAACAAACAAAAAATACAATAAAAAAACCAAAATGGACGGTTCGATCGAAATGGGGTAAATGAGGACATAATTTACCTTTTAAATCTTAAACAGAATAGTATTTTAAAAAATAATACGATTCAATCAAAATTATAGACACTGTAGATGTCGTTTTTCGAAATCCCAGATTTTTGCATAGGTGGTAGTTTCAACACTCTTCACTTTCAAATCGGCGACCATTTAAATATGGTGAACTGAACGCAAAATTGTTCTAAAATTATCTTTTGAAATACGATCTCTGAAAATTCTGTTCTAGCGAACGTAAATATACCACAGTAGCGTATCTGTAGATACCATACATTTCGTGCGTGTTCATATTATTGAATAAGCTCAAATGTACGGCTTGCGTTGCTAAAAATACGTGGCAACATTTACTCAAGGGTCTCTTCGGAATTGTTTCGTAAAACGTTACGCCAATATTTAGAATTCAGTGTACGGCAGATCTTGAGTAACATTTTTCACTAAACGAAACCAAAGTACCTCAAATGCGTCTCCCCGCTCTCTTCTTTCATATATTCGTAACCGATGTTGTTTTTAGATTCACCACCGTTATGCAATTTGTGTTCTTGAAATGTTTAGAAACATTTGAATGCCAGTTTTTATAAAATGAATATGCATATGTTGCGTATTGTTCAATACGAAACAATTGCGTTTGACTTTTTTAGATGGCGCTGCAATTTCTTAAACCCGCCGTATAAACTGCCAACTAGCTCAGGATAAAACACAAAATAAGAGCTTAAGAATCTTCTACAGGGGTACTTCGATCTGGGAAAAATGATCTTCGGAATCTTCCTTGCACTTACCAAGTTTGAGCGGCACTCAATTTCTAGCTTACTTCTCCCCGTATGAAATTCAAAAGATACGAGGGGATCAAAAATAGTACAAGCGAATTTAAGTACCAAAATGTATACTGGTTTATACACGTCTACCAAATCAAACTTCACGATGGTATAGCGTTCACAAAAATATTCAAATATCAAAATTATAAATAACACAAGATGTTGTCTTCCCCAATCAAGTTTATATTTCTGCTATAGTAGTTACAGGTGTTGCAGAAAAAGTTGTTAAAGTGGCTGACATATATTTCGGTCTGGTTAACAACAGGCCATTATCAAAGGAAAAACTACAGGAATATTACAATTATGGGGTTTTCTATATTAGATATTACTTTACAATTGAAATCCCCCAGTTTGGTTAACCCCCAATCAAGAATCGATTGAATTGATTACTGAATATTTTAACACATAAGTCTCCACAAATAAACTACTGTTTCGAACACAAATGTGTACACAGTACATACACGACCAAATACAAGTAAAATATAAGAAATGCAACGCTTACCTTCATTTAAAAGAAGAGGTCATCCTGAGAACTGAGCTCAGTTCCCGGATTTCCATAAAATCTGCGCAAACTAAAGAAAACTCCCAATCCGCAGAGCGAGGAATTCTAAGAACTGAACAATGCCTGAAGGGCCTCGACTTACTCGTAGTAAGGTTCTATAATATACGGTTATTTAGCTTCGGAAGGAAGTGACCGTGTACAACACACATGAGAAAACTCGATCATAACATACATATGTCGCAAGATACAAAATACAAAAAGCTACTGAAGGAAACTCGTTAATTAGAAGTGAGCCCAGCAAACACACTTTACGTTTAAAAACGGTTTTAAAACGCTTTTAAGAAATAAATTCGGTATTGGTAGTATGGTATACGTTTTTGTGTAGACCGATTATAACCTACGTTTAAAATACGATTTTTATTCATATATATATATAAACCATAAAGTTCACTTACTACGTTCATAATACGTATATAAATAACCGTTTTTTAGCATTCGTTTTATAAACGTATACATCACTTTAATATAGGTATATACGCATATAAATCGTATATTAATGGGAAATAATAGCTGCATAATAAGAATACAGCAACATCCGCCGGACATTTATGCGTATTATATGCGTAGGGTTTTAGTCTACGATAAACGCTTTTCATACGGAACTGTGTTGCAAGGACTATAGGAACTGTTGGTGACCAGCGTTTCAAGAAACATTATAAAATTGGTTCTTTTAAATAGACAGGATACAGTAGATGGAAACCCTTTTCTCCCTCTTTTTGTTGATACCCTATATTTGCTTGCGCTGTTTATTATCGTTTGTTACAAAAATTCTGATAGTTATTGTTCTCTTAAACTCATAGTGCTTTCATGTTAATTTTCAGTTTGTCTTGGTTGTAAAACGTGATGTTGCGCTATACATTCCTATGAGACTAGTTTTGTAGAGGTTAAGTGGAAGACCAGCGGCGGTGAACTTCGCCTCTAGGCAATTATTTGTCTTTATATACGTATCATAATGTTCTAAAATATAATAAAGATATTACTATTATTAATAATTGCCTTGAACGTGACATTAAAACTGGAAATTAAAACTTGAATCCAAATTAGAACTAAAATTAAAAACCCTAACCTTAAGGCTTTAAAATTTCCATACCTCTTTAAATAAGAGAGCTAATTGTAGAACAATGTGCCACAATCGTCGATGGAAAATCGTATTAAATATCAGCCGGAACCTAAAGAAGATTTACGTACTTGGCGTACTTACAATGAAGAAGAAATAACGCAACTATATCCTCCTAGTGGAGTGGAGGTGAAATTCCCTCCACAAATTGATGCGGAATCCCCAATTAACCTAATTTAATCGCCAAATATTAATACATATGTGTGGCGGCAATTAAAATCCCATGCCTTTCGCTGTTTGATTAAAAATCAAGTGCACGCTGTCCCAGCTGACGAACGAAAGAGGAAAATGAATGTTAACCATCGATAACGACGGCGCCGTAAAATTTCGCGCTGGAAATTTGTGTGTTTAAAATTCCAAAGTTACAATTGTTATGAGGATCATTCAACAAGTAAATATACCGGGAACAATAATAATGCTTCTAGTGAAGAAAATAAATCGTTATAACACCAATACTATGTAATCCTGAGGGGTTAGAGGGCTCGAAATATTGCTACAAGTTTGATACCAAACCTATGGCGTTCACTAGTTTCGTAAAAATCACAAAAGAATCAATCTTAAGTTGATCTGAAACGTATTTTGCAAATGATAGCTAAAACGTACAACAGAGAAGAAACGAAAGCGAAGTTTCGGAATTTTTTTGCAACATTCGTGATGCAGTTGTTGCGTTTTCCAAGTGTTGGAACGTATAAGAAAGTAAACATTTCTCATCCACATCTATCTCCAAAGTGAAACGATCACGTTGCGCTACGAGTAGACTATTTGAACATTTTGAAATTTCATGTTGACAGCACAACGCGATAAAGCCGTCGCATAGTAACTTCTAAATTCTATTCATTTACCGATTGACCGACAACCTTGACTTACACAAAAAGTAATTAATTGCTAATTTTTGAGTATTGATATCTAATACTTTTAGAATATTGAGCGCAACTTTCGCGATAAGTTAAGCACCTATCAAAATAGTACCTAAAAAACCTTGCTGATATGTAAAAAAATACCACTAGTTGCTTTAATATGAAAAATTTACTGCAAATCGTCTAGCTCATTTCCATAAAGAAATTAGGGTGGGGCTTTACGGTGATTTACTGAATTGAGAGAAATTAGCGATCTTTGGTTCTGTACTCTTTTACGAAAAATTGTACTAATAATTAACCTTTCAACATCTTTGTAAACATCCCAATTCAGTATTCACAGAAATTCTCGGAAAGTTAATAATTTCCATTTTACCAGACCCAGTGCATTCCTGTTATTCCTTACTTGTTTGCTATGTGGTTGCAAGTTATTGTCCACACTCTTTGGATGACTGACTCATTCGTATTTCTGTATAATTGTTAATAAGTACCTAGGCAATAACCAAGAAACGAATCTAAAATTACCTGTCACCCTCTCTTTATAATAATAGCAAAATAAATGAAGCAATCTATTCGTACGGTTTTCTTCCTACATTATATGAGTGTCATATGGGTAACTTCCGATCATTTTTTATGTAGGCTATCCTCCGCTACTCTTAGCGAAATGTTCTTTTTAAAATAGTCCTAACCGCATTTTCCAAGTTGATCTTCAACAATTGGTCACACTGAGATTACATACTGCTTACTGACAACTAATAATAATAATTACGTTCTAAGCCCATTTGCAAATAATACAGCAATTTCGTTTTCTTCCCATAACTTTTTGAGTTATACACAGAAACACATTTATTAACATAAAAGATCACCAAAGATTTAAAGTGTGCCCATTGCGCTTTCGTCACCAAGCATAGATCCAGTCTTAAAAGCATCTAACATTTGACAAGACCCTGCCAAGATTTAAAATGTAGCCGGTGTGATTATGTCCCTGTAAATACACACTCAATTTTAAAACACAAGGCCAGTAATAACTTCAGATGCGCCTGGTATTAATTACATACAACCCCGTAAATCCCGTTACTTTCTAAGGAACTAATATAGTAATACGCTACACGCCAATGAAATGCCGGGAATGTCAACTCAGTTCGCATATGGTCGATATTGTACTGTTGGCTATCTCTTTCACATATACTCTGGAACACATTTATAGTGGATGTAGGCTAAATTTATGGAATATTAGGATCTAAGCATAAGTACGGGCATAATTTTAAATGTAAGTGTATAGGATAAAAAATATTGTATGCACCACGGCACGAAAGTTGTTTTTGGGCCTCAGGAAGAGGCCATCTTCGGCTTCGCCTCGCCTGGCCATGTCTTCCTTCGCCCCGGAAAACAACCACTTTCCCGCCTTGGTACACAGAGTACTATTCTGCGTTTTACACCAAGCTATCTAATTCTGATATGAAAGCAATCAATTTTAAATCTCAAGCGCCATTTTATTTTTAGAAAATTGCGTATCTGAAAGTGTAAAGGAGACAATGGCAAATTAACCAATGATAAAATTATTTATCTGAAGAGTCACATTAAGATTATCCCAATTGTTCTTTTAATCTGTCCACTTGAGCCCTTGGTATAAGAACGCGACACGACAATCGTTCCTCACTTTTGGTTGCACCATGTTCAAACTGGTATTGATTTCAGCTCTTTTCGCTCTTGCAGCGGGTAAGTCAACTAAGTCGCTTAAATAGGTGTTATTAATCTCTACTTTCCATTGAAGCGAGGCCCAACCGCCCTGGACTTCCTCATTTAGATGGAAGAATTGTAGGTGGATTCGATGTCACCATTGAACAAGTTCCCTATCAAGTTTCCCTAATGGTTCGCCCCGATAGCCCCTATCACATTTGCGGCGGATCAATCATTGCCCACGATCTAATTTTGACAGCAGCGCATTGCACCACCAGGTACAAATTTTGCAATACATCTGCTTAATAACCTTTTAACACAAACACTTTTAATAGGTATCAACCTTCAGAGATGAGAATTCGCTACGGCAACACCATCAAGAACGAAGGAGGCACCATAATGGAAGTGTTGTTCAAGAAAGATCACCATCTGTACAACCCAAACACAATGGACTACGACATATCGGTTTTAGTTCTCAGTGGTCGAATCCAATTTTCCGCAAGTGCCCAAATTATCCCACTAGTTGCCAGCGGTTCTGGAGAAGGAGGTCGTGCCGCCATGGTATCAGGATGGGGCAGGCTTTCATCCGGTGGCGCATCGCCCACCAAATTACAGGCCGTTTATGTGCGTGAGGTTGATAGAAAGAAATGCAACGAAGACTACAGTGGCCCAATTACCGAGAGAATGATTTGCTTCATGGACACATACAAAGATTCGTGTCAGGTAAATGGATCACGCAACGTTTTTTATGCCAACAGCTAACAATTGATCAATTTGCAGGGTGATTCCGGTGGCCCACTCGTATCCAGTGGTGTCCAAATTGGTGTTGTGTCATGGGGATGGGGATGTGCCGATCCAAGGTACCCAGGTGTTTATTCTAATGTTGCTGTACTTAGAGATTTCATTGGTTGGTAAACAATATCTGTTTCAATGAATCTTTCTGGAAAAAAATGTGTGCAAATATAGTAACTAAGTTTCGTTGCAATTTGTTTTTATTATTCCAAAGTACGTATATAATACGCGTTACGTCGAAAGTGTTCCCCTTCCCTTAATATATTATTGTACTGCTAACATAATGGTTCTGTTCTGGCTCATTTGTTTTATAATGCCTAGGACTTAAACAAACAAAGCAAACAAAAAATACAATAAAAAAACCAAAATGGACGGTTCGATCGAAATGGGGTAAATGAGGACATAATTTACCTTTTAAATCTTAAACAGAATAGTATTTTAAAAAATAATACGATTCAATCAAAATTATAGACACAGTAGATGTCGTTTTTCGAAATCCCAGGTTTTTGCATAGGTAGCAGTTTGAACACTCTTCACTTTCAAATTGGCGACCATTTAAATATGGTGAACTGAACACAAAATTGTTCAAATTACCTTTTGAAATACGATATCTCAAAATTCTGTCCTAGTGAACATAAGCATACCACAGTAGCGTAACTGTAACATTAATTTCGTGCGAGATCACAGTATTGAATAAAGCTCAAATGTACGCCTTGTGTTGCTAAAAATACGTGGCAACATTTACTCAAGAGTCTCTTCGGAATTGTTTCGTAAAAACGTTACACAAAGATTTAGAATTCAGTGTACGGCAGATGTTGGGTAACATTTTTTACTAAACGAAACCAAAGTACCTCAACTGCGTTTCCCCACTTTCCTTTCATATATTCGTAACCGTTTCGTTTTTAGATTCACCACCGTTATGCAATTTTTGTGCTTGAAATGTTTAGAAATATTTGAATGCATCTTTTAATACCGTTTTCTTATAGTTATTATTCTCATAAACTGATATTGCTTTCATCCGAATTTTCGGTTTTTCTTAGTTGTAAAACGTGCGCTATGCATTCCTATGCGACTAGTTTTGTGGAGGTTAAGTGGAAGAGCAGCAGGACGGAACTTCGCCTCTACGCAATTATTTTTCTTTATATACATATGATGATAATGTTTTCTAATACAATAAAGATATTACTATTATTGTTAATTGCCTTGAACGTGACATTAACACTGGAAATTAAAACTTGAATCCAACTTAGAACTAAAATTAAAAACCCTAGAAGAAAATCAAAGGTAACCGTCTTCGTTAATAACCTTAGAAACTTAAAACCTACGTACTCCTTTAAATAAAACCAATGTGCCACAATCGTCGATGGGAACTCGTATTAAATATCAGCCGGGACCTAAAGAAGATTTACGTCAAGCAGATTAAATGCAAATGGCGTACTTACAATGAAGAAGAAATAACGCAACTATATCCTCCTAGGGGAGGGTAGGTGAAATTCCTACCACAAATTGATGCGGAATCCCCAATTAACCGAATTTAATCGCCAAATATTAATACATATGGGAGGCGACCATTAAAATCCCATGTGTTTCGCTTTTTGATTAAAAATCAAGTGCACTCTGTCACGGCTGACGAACGAAAGAGGAAAATGAATGATAACTATCGACAACGACAGCGCCGTAACATTTCGCGCTGGAAATTGTGTTTAAAATTCGAAGGTTACAAACGACGATCATTCAACAAGTAAATATACCGGGAACAATAATAGTGCTTCTATAATGAAGAAAATAAATCGTTACAACACCAATGCTACGTAATCCTGAGGGGTTAGAGGATTGCGAAATATTGTTTGATATCAAACCTATGGCGTTCACTAGTGTCGTAAAAATCATGTTGCGTTTTCCAAGTGTTGGAAAATCGATCACAGTGTGCTACGAGAAGACTAATTTTACATTTTTAAGTTTCATATTGACAGCACAACGGGATAAGGCAGTCGCATAGTAACCTCTTAATTCTATTCATTTATCGATTGATCGATAACCTTGACTTACACCAAAAGTAATGAATTGCTAATTTTTGAGTATTGATATCCGGCACTTTTAAAATATTGAGTGCAACCATGGCGATAAATTTAGCACCTATCAAACAGTACCTAAAAAACCGTGCTGATATCTAAAACAAAACCACTATACAAGTATTGTTTCTTGCAGTTATATGTAAAAAATAAAACAATCCAAAATTCCTTCAGGTTTTTGATTTTCAAGATATTTGCAAAAATGGCCTTTGGGGTCATATTTGACTCCACCTGGTAACACGTTTAACAAATTAAGTGACAATACTTTTAGGATTTGATTGTAAATATATACATTTGTAATTGTCATATTTTGGATTTAAATGCACTCATTATACAGTGCGTTCGAGGTAAGAGGGTCGCCTCAATATCTCCTTTATTTGGTAAGATACCAAAATTTGCCAAATATAATTATTTTATGTGACATTACGATCTATCCGATCGCATATTCAAACTTACGGTATCACTTCCGTTTCAACATGAAATACGCACATAGTTGATTTGCAAAAAATGCAAAATTCGTAATTTAACAGTTAGAAAATTTGTGAACCCATGGTGCGCGGTGTCTATTGTGTTACACAGAAACGACCTACATCAACCTGCTCAGTGTTTCGTTTTGAAGATCTACTTTTGGGCGATATGACCTACCCGTGTAAGATAACACGTACCGCGCACCCCGAAAGCACACGGCATACTATATTTCACGCGGAAACAAGCCGCAGGAGTAAAAGTACGCACGGCAGTGACTCGACTCCACCATCTGGAAAATAAATCATGAGGGTATTCCAAGCCATTTATTCAAGACGGTGAGGCTGCTGTTCACCCTCAACAAGTGAGCGTCAGCGGCATTTAAACGAAGCTCTGCCCAATTAAGAGAGAGGGTTTTTGTTCAGCTATTCTGGAGATGTACCTTCCAAGAGAGAATTTTTCTGTAGTGAACTTACTTGGGGGCGAATGGGTGGTTAACGGGTTTGTTGTGGAGCTAACTCCACTTGGTGTAACTTGTAACCTTATTCAAACCGATAAGGAGCAGCAGCAATGTCTAAATCCTGTAGTAGGTTAGTATTCAACACTAATACATAGCGTGAATTGCGTTCTGAATTAAATTAATTCTACAATCTCAAGTGCAACTTTCTCGATAAGTATGCGTATCAGTTACGCAACCTTAGTAACAACTATTCTTGATACCTGCAGAACATTCAGTAAAAGATCTTGATACAAACATTAGCATTATGATAATGCTCATATTGAAGAAAGAACTACCAAAACTGCAAACTTTTCAAAATAATAACGTTGTAAGATCTACCATAAAACACTTTTATCAGTGTGTTTGATATACTAAACGCTTTTGGAAACCGTTCCTGGACTCTTAATTTGTCGATAATTTGAAACATCGGTTGAGAAAGATGTAACATTTCGAAAAAAAAACTAGAACCTTTTTAGAAGTACCTATGTAACTTTCTAATTTCTAATCTACGTCTATCCTCCAGTGCTGCTCTCAGCGTAATCATTTCTAATCGCATTGGCCAAGTTCCAGGCTAACTTGACCTTCAGAGATTGTTCACATTGAGATACTTAAAAAGTTACTGATCAGCTCCAAGTTAATTCCATTTACAAATAATGCCCTTAGATCGGTCTTTTATTTCGTGACCAATACCGTGTTTTGCACACACTAACATTTTTTGAGCTACACGCAAAATTTTTGCGTACGACTCCAAATTTTCTAATGTTAATTAATTTTAAATCTCAAGTGAATTTCTGACAAATTGCGTATCTGAAGTGTAAAAGGGCCGACGATAAAGTTGAATAGTCACAATTATCCCAGTCACTCCCCTAATCTGTCTACTTGAACCCTCGGTATAAGAACGTGAAACGCCACTCGTTGCCCACTTTTTGTTGGACCATGTTCAAACTAATATTGGTTTCAGCGCTTTTCGCTCTTGCAGCTGGTAAGTTAACTTAGTCGCTTAAATATTTGTGAGTAACCTTCGATTTGAAGCGAGGCCCAAAATCCGCACAGAGCTTCCCCAGTTAGACGGAAGAATTGTTGGCGGATTCGATGCCTTCATTGAGCAACTGCCCTATCAAGTTTCTCTCCTGGTTTTGGACAGCCACATGTGCGGCGGATCAATAATTCGACCCGACTTAGTTTTGACAGCCGCACATTGCACCAGCAAGTACGAATTTTGCAACATTTCGGCGTAGTAACCTTTTAACACAAACACTTTTGATAGGTACCAACCCTCAGAGATGAGCGTCCGCTACGGGAGCAGCATAAGGGACCAAGCAGGCACCGTAGTGCCAGTGCTGTACAAGAAAGATCACTACGAGTACGATCCATCCTCCATGGATTACGATATATCGGTTTTAGTTCTCGTTGATCAAATAATAATGTCCGCAAGTGCCCAAGTTATCCCACTCGCTTCCAGTTATTCAGAAGGGGGCCGAGTTGGCCTTGTATCGGGATGGGGCGCACTTTCAACTGGTGGCCCATCACCTTCACAATTGAAGGCTGTTTATGTGCGCGAAGTTGATAGAAAGAAATGCAACGATGATTACGAAGGCGCAATTACCGAGAGAATGATTTGCTTCATGGACACAGGCAAAGATGCGTGCCAGGTAAGTGGATCACACACTGTTGTTTACGTTAACGGCTAACAATTTATAAATTCATAGGGTGATTCCGGGGGCCCACTCGTCTCCTCCAATGGTGAACTAATTGGTATTGTCTCATGGGGAATGGCATGTGCCGATCCAAGCCACCCTGGTATTTATTCAAATGTTGTTGTTCTTAGAAGTTTCATTGGTTGGTAGGTAATCGTTTTTGTTTGAATTGACCTTCATGAAAAATATATGTGCCAATAAAGAAACTTTTCGTTTTGTTGCAAGTTATTTTTATTATTCCAAAATAGGTACTTATAATACAATAACGCGCTAAATAGAAAGTGTTTCCCTTCCCTTAATATAATATTGTGCTAGTTCTGTTCTGGCTCATTTGTTTTATAACGCCTATAGGACTTAAACAAACAAAGCAAACAAAAAATACAATACAAAAAAAAACAAATGGGCGGTTCGACCGAAATGGGGTAAATGAGGGCATAATTTACCGACTGAAATGAGGTAAAGGAGAAGGATAGAATTTACCTTTTAAATCTTTAACAGAATCATATATTTAAAAACAGCACGACACAAACAAAATGAGGCATATTATAGACGTGGTTTTTAATTTTTTGGTATCTGTCCGTCTGTCCGTCCGTTAGCACGATAACGCATAAACGAATGCACCGATTAGGATGAAATTTTGTAGGTGGATTCTTTATCAAATTTGCAAATTTGTAGATCGGAGTACGTGAATTGACAATGTTACCCAAAAAATAAGCAAGGCCCTTTTGACATCTCCGTGAGTTATGAACCGAATTGCATGAAATTCAATACGCGTATAGCTTTAGCCATATAAAACGCAATTCCAAAAATTGAGCCTAATCGATCAACATTCACAGTGCCCTTTTCGCATCTCGACCATTTATAAACCGGATTGCAAACTTTCTTATTTATGAAGGTATTTAAATGAAATTTGATACATAATCACTTGGAATAAAACCAAATTTAACGCCAGTTTCAAAATTTCGTTTTGCGCATGCGCAGTGCCTACTTTCTTATACGGAGGGATTTAAATGAAATTTGATACATAGCCACTTGGAATAAAAGCAAATTTAACACCAGTTTCAAACTTTAGTTTTGCGTATGCGCAGTGCCAACTTTCTTATTTATGGAGGCGTTCAAATGAAATTTGATACATAGCCACTTTGAGTAAAACAAATGTAGCGCCATTTTCCAAATTTGGTTTTGTGCAGGATGTGCAGTGCCAACTTTCTTATTTATGCAAGCAATTAAATAAAATTTCATACATGTACACTTTAAATAAAAGCAAAACTAACATCAGGTTTAAAATTTGGTTTTGCACATACATACCCATACCCAGGAGTTCGTTTTCTATATTTGTTTAGTTTCTTATTTCTTTTTTTTTTGCAATTTTACCGCAATAAAAGCAATTCGAAGTAAAATCGAATCCTTTTGCTTCCTGAACAAGTTGTTTTTGTTCACTCACCCTTCTTCCTGCCTATTTTACAGCTGATGCGATTACGCTGGGCCTGTTGATCGATTTACAGGAATTATGAGTAAAATCCTCAAGAAGTTTATTCCAGGTTTTACATCTCAAATCATTTGCTTTGGCGGGTAAAACTAACGTTCTTATTGCAGATTTTGCAAGATTATCAACAGGCCCAACGCGATTGCATCAGCTATAAAACAGACAGGAAGAAGAAGTCAGAAGTGTCAGTGAACAATAAAACATTGTTCAGTAATCAGGAAGCAAGATAATTCGAATTGCTTTATTGCGGTAAAAAAGCAGAAAAAAGAAATAATGAAGATGTTTTAACTAAAACAGTTGAACATAAGCTAACAAAAGAGAATATTTAAGCAAACATTAAAGAGAAGCAAGAAGACAGATTTCGAAAAAATCTTTATTAACATCCAACACGTTGATTTATCCTGTCAAAAACCGTGTATATTTTAACACTGTTTTCCAGTTTTTGGCGATTTTCTCGAATGTTTGCTATAGCAATAATATTTTTTTATTTTTGTTTATTAAAATACGTCTTCCCGAAAATTTTGCTATCCCGCGCACCTTTGTACGATGAAAAAAGATTTTTCATCCCCTTGAAAAAGAGGTGGTTTTTTCAGAAATCGTGAGACGATTCAACTTTACGGGCCCAAAAAAATTGTCTCCCTTTTTATACAAAATACAAAAGTTGTTCAATTTTCTATTCTCTATAATATTTTCGCTTAAAATTAATAGTTTTGACACAAATTGCAAAATACCAGTTTCCACAACCCCCGGAATTTCACCCGCGAAAAATTCAGCTGTTTTAATTATTTTTCCCCAATTTCTAATCATTTCACCATCACCATGAAAAACCTGGTTTGAACCGGTAACTAATTTCTTATTAATGATGGCGATTGAACGATACAGATGAACGGGATAAACGGAAAGGGGCATGAAATGGATAACTGGAAAGTGGATGAACGGTTTTAGGTTTTCAGATCAACAAGTGACAGGAAGAATTATTTGGTGACCGATAAAGTGGAAATGATATTGCGCACCGTGTTTTGTAATTGTTAGTTAGTGACGTCTAGCAATCGACAATGTAGTTAGTTTTGAAGGCAACGTTTACACGATCTATAAATAACTGATACATTGCTACCTTACAACCCATCCAATTCGCACTGTGGTCGCTTCTAAAATGACCACAACGCGTTATGGGTATAAGTCCACGACCATAACATGAAAAAATATTTAATTTCGGTGTTTGGTCGTTTAGCTTCATCCATAACGCATTATGTGCCTTATTGAGCGATTTCGATATTTGTACGTAACATATTGTAACGTGATTTATAAATTCGGGTTCGATTTATATCAATATTTATTAAACAAAACTAAAACACTATAAAAACCGTACAATTTATATCGATTATTTATATCACACACACTTCGCAATTTATATTTCCGCGCTCGATGTTTCGTCCGTACTCGTTCGGAAGTAGACTGCCGCGATGTTCGGTCCGCAACCATTTATACACGCAAGCAATGTAAGTCCAGTACATTCTCGAAAAACCCACTATCGCGCGCGTAGAAAATTCCAGAGCGCCAAAGGCGACGTCATGTCTGGAGCATTTCCGTTACAATATTATATTATAGTTCTGCTAATGGTAATAAAATTCACCCGTGTATGCACAATATGAATTTCTACACGATCCTTGTACGGCATGATTCGGGTGAAGGAGATAATGAGCGCATTCTGATTTTTGGAAGGTCGTATGGAAATTGGTCTCAAGAGATGAACAAAAAATTAATCTGCGTTCTGCTTCTTCAAATTCAAATTTGTGTTGTTGTTTCTTCTTTGGTGAAAAATATTAAAAATGAGTTATCAGGAGAAAGACTTGACAGCACAGTACAATTGGATATTTCGCTTTGGCTTGCTCTGGCCCATCGATAATCTCGGCAACGCCTTCGAAGAACAAAACGAAGCAACACCACTAGAACTGGAACCAATATTACATTGATTCGAATTGTACAAACATTCTTCCCAATCCCCAATGCTTGTAGCAAAAATTTTTGGCTCAATTTCCCAGAAATTTTGAAAAACTGTTTAGAAACTCAAATTTAGGAGACCTTTGTATCATATCATGCAATTTTAATAGAAAATACCTACATACCGAAAAAGTTTAAAATCACTTTATTTCTTATACTATTGAAAGGAGGTGAATAAAAATACCTATATTTTGGGATTGTTCTCCATATCATTCTCCAAAATAAAACGATCGCAGTGCGCTGGTTACTACGAGAAATCTAATTGAACATTATCGTATTTAATCTGAGTATCGATAGCAAAAACGCGATAAGGCAGCCGCATAGTAACTTTTCTATTCATATACCGATTGACGGAATAGCCCTGACATGCGCCAAAAGTTCTGAATTGCTTATGTTTGAGTATTATTATCTAATACTTTTAGAATATTGAGTTCAACTTCCGCGATAAATTAAGCACCTGTCCAAATAGTACCTAAAAAAATCGGGCTTGCTGATATGTAAAAAATTACGACGTCAAACATTTACTGCAAAACGTTTAGCTCATTTCCATAAATATAATTAGGGCGAGGATTTAAAAAAAATTACGGTCATTGAAACTCCATTATTGTAAACAAATAATAAAACAATTGAAAAAAAGACTCAATACAGTGAGTACTTTTTTATGGGCCATATAAAAAAATATAGTTGATGATGATTCCTCCGAAACAAAACGTTGTATTCAAAATCTCTCAACGGTGTCTTGTAGAGGTCAAAAAGCTGCAATGAGATTCGGAGATCTCCCTGATAGACATCTATCCTTTTGAGACAGTGTATACATAGGTAAAATCAGTTTCTTAAATAATTGTATACAAAGCTCTTATTAACTATTTACTATTAATATGGACTGTACCAGGGCCTACTATTAGCTACAGTAGGATCTGATATTCACTTATTCTTTTTAAAGGCCTTTACATTTTTTTATTCTTTTTGGTTTTTATGTTTTTCATTCTATTGGTATGCGTGTATGGAGATGAAGTAATTGACGTTTTTGAATAGGGTGAATTAGATCATAGATATTCATGCATACCTTGCTTATACTCCGGAGATAAAAAGAAGCATTATATCTGAGCGATTAGAATAATTTCGTTTCACATAACATATGGGACTGCGTAGCTGTTTGTTTTTTTTTGCGTTTCTGAAAAAAAATCAAACATTTGCGGGAGTCTGTGATGGCTCCCAAGTATTTCACTGGGATGATGGATATTTCAATAAAAATGCTCGGTGTCTACATTGTTATGTACATTTTTCAAAATTATCAAAAAAGACCCCCTGTCCCGAACATCTTATTGACGTTTGAGATTTCTAAGAGAAATAATGTTGCAGGACGCTTACTCAGTCCTTCTGGATCATTTCAATTTGAACGGGCACGATTTAGAAAAAAGTATACTTAGGTAAACGAGGAATTATTTTCCGATGCCTTATTACAAAATTATGCAATCCTTCAATTCGAAATTCAATTTACCACAGCTATTCAAAGGATGGAAGGATGGAAGGAAGTGCCTCTCGCAAAATAATCCTTAGTATTTTAAATAGTTCAGATTCCTTTACCAGTATTTGAATACAATCCCTTTTATACGTACAGAAAATTTTCTACGCGTTATGTCAAATTATGTAATAAAGCAAATACTAGTACTAATCTCAAGTGATCACAAGGTATGTTACGTACCTGGAGGATTAAAACGAGACAAAAACGAATTATGAATAACGATACGCAATAAGATTAGAAATAGTCCAATAATTGTTCTCCTCATCTGCCCACTTGAGAAATTGGTATAAAATAGTGAAACGACGACCGTTCCCCACTTTTGGCTGAACCATGTTCAAACTAGTATTGATTTCGGCGCTTTTCGCTCTTGCGGCTGGTAAGTGAACCATATTGCATAAATATGTGCTTTGTTAAGCTCCACGTTTCATTGAAGCAAGGCCCAACCGTCCAGAACTTCCTCAGTTAGATGGAAGAATTGTAGGCGGATACGATGTCAACATTGAAGATCATCCCTATCAAATTTCCCTACAGGTTTGGGGAACCCACATCTGCGGGGGATCTATAATTGCATCCGATCTAATTTTGACAGCCGCACATTGCACCATCAAGTACGTATTTTGCAATACATTGACTTAGTAACCTTTTAACACACACACTTTCAATAGGTACCAAGCTGGAGATATGAGTATTCGCTACGGCAGCAGCATAAGGAACCAAGCAGGCACCGAAGTGCAAGTGAAGGAAAAGGATGAACACCCCAACTACAATCCATCCACAATGGACTACGACGTAACAATTTTGGTTCTCCGTAACCACATTAAAATGTCCGCAAGTGCCCGAGTGGTCTCACTCGCTTCCGCCGGTTCATCAGAGGGAGGTCGTGTCGCCATAGTATCAGGATGGGGCGCACTTTCATCCGGTGGCTCATCGCCTTTACAATTGCAGGCAGTTAAGGTTCGCGAGGTTGATAGAAGAGATTGCGACAGTGACTACGGTGGCGTAATTACCGACAGAATGGTATGCTTCATGGACACATACAAAGATTCGTGCCAGGTAATTGGATCACTTATCGTTTTTTAAATCAACGGCTAACAATTTGTAAATTCGTAGGGTGATTCCGGTGGCCCACTCGTCTCCAATGGTGTACAAGTTGGTGTTGTCTCATGGGGATGGGGATGTGCCGATCCAAGGTACCCAGGTGTTTATTCTAATGTTGCTGTACTTAGAGATTTTATCGATGCTTAATAATCGTTCTTGTTTGAATAAGTCACTATGAAATAAATGTGTGCAAAGATTATTTGTTTCGCTGCAATTTTTTTTTATTCCAAAATATTTGGATGGTGTTCCCCTTTCCCAAATAGACTATTGAGCTGCTAGCATAATGGTTCCGGGAGGAAGGTGTAGACAGCTGTTCGACCTAAATGGGATATAGGAGGAAGACAGAATTTACCTTTAAATCTTCAACAAAATCATATTTTCAAAAACAAGACGACTCAAACATTAATTTTATTGCGCGTTATAGACGCTCTAGATACTAAAATTACGTATGACAGTTCATTGAGGCCCCGCCTTATAATTTAGGCTCATCCGGCCAATAATGAAATTTATCTGAAAAGGTCATCAGGATTCCTAAAGTAAGTCACTAAATGGGAGCGAGACAAAAAACATCGCCAGATATGATATGCAATAATAACCTTCAATATCTATTATTATACTTTTGTATAATATTAGAACTCAATTTTACAATGAATGATTAACTACTATGTAAATAGTATTCTCTGTATATTTAGTTTTTAGCGCATTTTTGCAAAAAATTTTTTTTGTAAAAAGTAGCTTTTAATCTCACTTTGGCTGGCTGGCTGGCTGGCTGGCTGGCAGCAAATGTGGGCGCGTAGAAGAACTCTTGTAGAAAGGCAACGGGTGTACGTGTATCTACAGGGCCGTGAAATTTGTCAACCTTAGGGACATGGCTACATGATGTGGGGTTGGCGACATCTGGGCGTCATCCTCGAGCGTAGTATACTAACGTGAAGGTTTTTCAGTTTTTTCCTATCTTCTACTACAGTTTTGGTCCGATTCTTTTGAAATTGGTGTCGTCGGAAAGATGTTGTAAACGCGCACAACTCCTGCGTGGCGGAATTTTGTTTTTGTCATAGGGGCGAAATTAACGACCTTTTGCGAGGCGCGCGCGCGTCTTCGAGAAGTAGTCAACTTCGGGCGCCTTTTACCTTCCGTTGCGAACTCACGCGGTTTAACGTTTCGTAAATCTCGAATCGCTGTCTCTCTTTCTCGTGTCGCCAATAGAAGTGAATTGCGAGTGAACGGGACGTCGGAAGTGGGTACCGTAAAAGAGAATGTGGTAGCCCGCGACACGATCTCACTGATGGTGGAGTCAAATCTTCAAACGCGAATTGCGGGTGAACGGGACGTCGGAAGGGGGTACCGTCAAAGGAAATGTGGTAGCCCCCGACACGATCTTCCTGATGGTGGAGTCAAATCTTCAAACGCGAATTGCGGGTGAACGGGACGTCGGAAGTGGGTACCGTAAAAAGGAATGTGGTAGCCCCCGACACGATCTCCTGATGGTGGAGTCAAATCTTCAAACGCGAATTGCTGGTGAACGGGACGTCGGAAGGAGGTACCGTCAAAGGGAATGTGGTAGCCCCCGACACGATCTTCCTGATGGTGGAGTCAAATCTTCAAACGCGAATTGCGGGTGAACGGGACGTCG